GGAAGACTGGTTCGTGAGAAAATTCATACTTGCTGTATATCCTTTGTAAGTCCATGGGTTATATCAAGCATTCCTTGATTATGCTGAATACTTAAGGACCAGTGGCCAGGCTGTTGTGTATGTGTGTACATACGCATGTGTGTGGGAGGGATATTTGATATTCTTTCTTTTTCAATATTTCTTACCCAATCATGAGTCAGAGCCTTTATGGGATAAAGGCTTCCTAAGATGTAAATGTCCAAGAATTGAGCATTTCTAGGAAATTCCTGAAGCATCCCAAGAAAGTTAGGCTGAGGATGAATTCTCACATCCTACACATGCTCCACAAGTGTAGAATTATTCGATTCTGCTTCGATGGAAAGGGCAAGGGCAAGGACAGCCTAAGGACAGTCTGTTATTCCATGAACTAAACGTGAGCTGACACTGACACCCAGGTCCAGAGGAAACAAGTCAGTGGCACTATCAAAGACCTCCAGATAGGATTCCTCCAGACAGCAGTGAAAAATTCATTCAGTTGTTTGTCTCAGAGAATTCTGTCTTAGATATGAAGTCTGTGTGACTGATGAAGGCACAGTGATGGTGGGTCTAGGCAGAGAAGTTGGAAGATGACACAGAACCTCTCAATTGGGAAAAACTTCCCCCTTTTTCCTCAAGCTCTTGTCCCTCGGGAAAACTCTTAGTTTCTCTTCAAAGCCCTAAAGAAAATGCTACCTCCTCTAGGAAGCTCTCCAGGGCCACTCAAAGTATGGCCCCTGCTTGCTTGGCTTTCAGTTACTGCCCGTATGACCTGGTATCACAGTTACTTGTTGCCTTCTGCCTCCTCCACCAGACTACATCCTCCTCCATTATCCCCTCTCACATTTCTCATGGGTTGAAATAATATATTTAAAGCATTTGCTAACATTGATTGATCTGTTTTCATTGCAAGAAAACATAGCTCCTAAATGCAGGGACTATGGTCTGCCTTACTGCTCACTATTCTATCCCCAGTACCCAGAACTTTGCCTGGCATCTGGGAAGTGCTCACTAGAGTTTGTTGAATGAATGAATAAATGAATGAATGAATGAATAAATAAGTAGAGGTCAGTTTCTTAGGGTTCTGTTTGTTTCTCCAGCACCCAGCATAGTGGCTGGCACAAAGTTGTCAGGGAGGAAAGGTTAAATGAACAAAATTGCGTTTTAAAAAATCATCTTTTAAGTTTTAAAAAGTGGTCTATTTTTATGTAAATTGCTATCCAAACCAGGAATGTATAAATATGCCATCCTCATTAGCATAGAATTTGGACTGAATAGAAACCTGAAGATGGGCAACGAAGAATTTAAGCAGAAATTAGAGATATATTCTAAGCTGGGAACTGTTCCATGTATTATACTCACAGGCATCCTCATTGGAGTCCTAGTAAGACGGAAGAAAAAGATGCTAAAAAAACAATCTAAAGAATTTGGGAGAGACTCTTGCTTCTGGGAATGACTTCACGTGGTCATAATTTCACTTATCAAAGCCCACATGTTTAAAGCATTGTGCTCTTCATGTTTTCTCATTGTCATTTCATCCTAGTAAGGTAGATCAATCAGGAGCTATACCCATTTTTTAGAGAGGAAAACTGAGGCTAGAGGCTATGCAATCTCTGTAAGGTCACAAAGCTAATTAGTAGTGGAGTGAGTTCTAAATCAGGTCAGCTGACTCCAAGTTTAGTAATCTTCCCACTCCCCACTGGTTGGGTGGCAATTATAATCTTCACTTCATTCCAACTACAGCCCCGGGCCAACTCCAAACCTTTGCTGAGGCCGCCAATTACTCTCAACTTCTGCATCTTCAGCATTTAGTATTCCTGGGACCTCAATTGGTATTGGTAGGAATAGTCTCCTTATAGCATAGTAGTTAGGGGTTGGCTTTAGAGTCAGACAGACCTAGGTATGAGGACAAATCCCACTACTGTGATCTTTAGTATGTTTACTTAACCTCCCTGTGCCTCAGTTTCTTCAACTGTGAAATGGGATGATAATAATATATACCTCACATGGTTATTGTGAAGATTAAATGGAAAAATGGTTACAAAGCACTTAGTACAGATTGTGTTTTACAGCCTCATGTTAAAATGAGAAAAGGTGATTAGCTGAGATGTTAGACACGGACTGTCCCCCCTATTAAGATGCCTTCTGCTCATTAAGTCCCCCCCTCATTCCTCCCAAGCTCAGGGCAGGGGCTTTGCAGGAAGAGGTTAATCCAGCAAGTGTGGTTTGCCTGTGGTGTGCGTGCCTAGCCCCATAAAACCCTCTAACGAGAGGCAGCTCGTTGGCTTGGCTGTCTCTAGGCATTCTGTCCTCTCACAGAGGCTGAGTTTGTGCCAAGCCGAAGCCCTCTGCCTCAGGGAGTCTCTGTGGGTTGAGTCAGGCAACTGTAGTGAACAAGTCTTGTTCCCACTGATCCCCAAGCTCTAGCTAAGGGTTCTTTCCAGGAGGGAGTCTAGGAGTGCTGAATGGGATAGATGCCTGGACTTCCTGCTTGGAAGACACTGAAGGACAGTGTTTGCTGAGACAGGAAGAGAGGGAGTCTCCAGGAGAGACCATAATGTTTGAGATACACAAGAACAGTGCTTGTGGGCACAGTCTTCCACAATAGATGGAAGAATCCCAGGCATCCAGACAAGAAAGACATCTGCTCTGAAACAATGAAGAGGCCATGGACTAATCACAGCTCACTCATCAAAAGCTGGTCATGGAGATACCTGAGGGCCAATTAAGTCATTCACCCAGATATCCTCACATCTTCCCAGTGCTGCCTCCTTTGGAGTTTAAGGGAAACCTGATCCTGGAGGGTAAGCATCTCTTTGATCCCTGCTGGCCTCAGTGAAACATCATTTACAGGGAAAGTTTTGAGCCCTCCCTAGAGCAAAGGCTTGGGCTAAGCTCTCCCTCTGTGGATTGGAGCCAGGCTAGTTAAACTTTATATGTGAAGTGTGGCAATTTGAGGAATAACCTCCACTTTACAACATCCCCTGTCTCCTTGCCTACCAATAGCAATTGGCCTGAAAGTCTTGGGCTTGGATGGAAAGGAAACCACAGGCCTAACCCAGCTCCACCCTAGCAGGCTGGGTAGGTGTAACATGACCTGCCCCTCAACCTGGGCTATGGCAGACAGGTACCCGCCCTGGCACACCTGCCCAGAAGTCTGTTTCTGGTAAGGAGGTAGGTGAGTATTCAATAGCTATGGCCCCAGGATAGGGCACTAAGCTCTCTTTATAAGGGCAGGTTCCCCTGAGATGGAGTTGGGTAGAGGAAGGAGGCAGGGAGAGTATCAATTCAAAATAAAGAATGGGGTAACCTAGAAAAGGCTGTTGAGTGCGAAGGAAAGAATGATAGGCTCAGAGAAAGAGCATTGGGGTCACTTAGAGGACTTGCACACCCTCTAGGCATTGGGGAAGCAAAGAATTTAAGAGTAGAAGCAGTGCAAATATTGTTTGGGTGGCAATTATAATTTTCCTTGGGCACACCCTATGTGAATCTGAGGTAGGCTCTAGTTGGGGTGGCAGAGGTGGAGGAAAGAGAGGAGGTTATGAATAGTTCCTTCCCTTCGCCTTCTCCAGGACCCTGTGAGCTGTCCAGGACTCAGCCCAGGATGTCACCTGAAGTAAGAGGTCCCTACATGGGTCTATTCTCTGCTCATAAACTGGTTCCTTTTGACACCACCATACCTACCAGTCATTTTGGCAAAGTGACCCCAAGGACCCAAGTCACATTCCAGGGGCTGCAGGGCTGCATTCTGTCATGCTATGGTAGGGGGAAAAAGTTTGGGGTCAGAGGGCCTCTGGCTTCCAAGGGGCTCCCAGTGCCCACGGTTTTGCAGGGCAGGAACGGAGGCAGAAGATGCCTCTCTTTTCAGGCCTTGCCCAATTCTTTGCTTTTACCCTAGACCTTTGTGTACACAATTGCAACTGAGCCCCTGGAGGGTACGTGGGGCTCCCTTCGAGGCAATATGAGGAAGCAGGCGCATGTTACAGGGTGCAGGTCTGGGTTGTGTGAGGTTTGAGGTGGGAGTGGCCACAGCACCAGGCATAGGGCCCAACCTCCAACTTCCCAGGTTTGCGGGAGGCTGAGGGGAAGGAGTGTGTATATGAAATGAGAATAGTGAGGTGGGAAGCCTCCCCTGCCCACCCCCCTGAAAAAAAACAGAAACCCCAGCCCCCTTTCTCAGGCCCGTGGAATTTCCTAATTCTCCCTTGGAAGTGCAGTTTCCAAGTCAGCTCAGAGAGTCCCAGGGCCAGCTGTGGTTACACTCACTTCCCCTTTATGAAGGAGCCTCTGTGCCTTGCCCTCACCTTACAAGACCAGTCCCTCACTGTGCGTCTCCCCAGATTGCCCGGCTCTCCGATCTTTCACCCCTTCCCAGGGTAGAGTACCAGGCTTCACTCTCTCTCGGAGGAATCCAGCCAGCAGTACGGTCACAAATTCAACGTCCTCTCCCTCCCGTTTCATCCTTCCGCCTCCTACCACCTCCTTTCACCCCAGGACGACCCCCGGAGCTTCCGGAACTAGGGTGGCCTTGGCAGGGCCGGCCTGGGGCTGCAAGCCCCTCCTCCTTCCACCCGCCTGGTCCCCAGGACCCCCGACCTTCACAGCCCGGGCCCCCATGCGCCACAGCCGCAACCATCGAAGTTCAATCAAGTTGCGCTATTGTCTCAGCTCCGTCCAGGTCTCCTGGGCGCCTAAGCTCCTTTCCTTTCCTTTCCCCTCCCTAGAGCCTTCCACACACCCACTCCCAGCCCCAAATGCCCATAAGCCAAACGTCCAGGAGCTCGGAGGCTCCGGCGGCGCAGGCACTCCTCTCTCTGGCAGAAAAGCGAGCGCCGCCAAGACCCTCCTTCCTGCGGACCCCACACCCACTGCCCCGAGGCTGCAGCTGCGGCGGAACTGGGGGGCTGTGGCTGGGTGGGGGGTGCCACAAACCCGACCCCAGCTCTGCGGTCTGGCGGTGAGGCCGGGGGTGTGGGGGCGCTTACCTGCGGGGAAAATTCACTGTCCTTCCGGATCTGGGCAGGGGCAGATGAAGCATCTTCCCCGGCTCAGGCGGCCATTCACCGGGTGGGCACCCAGTGCCCCCCAGGACCGCTCTCGTCCGACACCCGGGGACACCCGAAAATGTATGAGCTGTGGGCCACGCGGAGGGTCAGAAACCGAACCCTCGCCTGCCCTCCGCTCCCTTTTCTCCCCACCACCCGGGCTCGTACTTACAGCTCCAGCTGTACTTAAAGTGACAGAGCCCCATTTCCCCGCCGCTGACTTCTGTCCCGAGCCCCAGCGATGCAGGCTGCGAGCGGGCTCTTTAACGCCCAGAGCAGGTAGACAAAGAGCCACCGCAGCCTCCTCCGTTCCGGTGGCCTCGGAAGCCTGGAGGTGCCGACGGGGCTGGGGGCTCGACCTCCACCTGGGCTGCTCCGGAATTAACCCCTGGGATGCCAGCTGCTGTCCCTTGGGCTCTCTTACTCGCGCTGCACTGGCAGGAGGGGGTGTGAGCAGCGAGCCACTTCTCTCTGGGGCACGGGTGGGTAAGGAGTTGGGGAGGCCTGGGCAGAACCTTCTCCATAGAGGGCTTTCTCCCAGCCTCCTCCTGGCTCCTTTCCAGGCTTTTAGAAATTTCTAAAAATCGGAGCATGGGTCAGTGCATTGCCTAAAACAAGGTCCCTGAAGGGGTGTGGTGGGACACGAAGGTCCGATGGGGTACATATTGCCAGAGGTTGGCTCAGGACCCTTCTGCTCACAGCCGGGAGCCAAGTAGGATGGTGCGACCTTCTGATGTCCTAACAACCTCAGGGGGTGGGGCCCAACATCTCTCCAGCATTCAGGAGACCACAGATTAGGTGAGGTGTGCTTGCTGGGGGAAGACTGTGGGAGAGAAACAACAGCTCACACCACCCAACGATCTGTGCCTTTATCCAGGATCCATTTTCAGCTGACTGTTTAGGAAAAAAACAGTGGGATCCAGTAGCAGGGCCCTCCCATTGGGTTCCTCCCCACTGAGGGTCCTCCTGGTAACTTCACTCTCTTGGTTCCACAGAAAGGAGCCCTGTCGGGTAATTGGCCTGCTGCCCTCACCCTTGCTTCCTCCAGTTCTCACTCTTGGCTCCTGGAAGGGGTTAAGTGTCTATGGTTGGGTCCCAATCCCAATGTGAACTGGGCAAACTCGGAAGCCTACATTTTAGAGATGGACAAATTATACCTGCAGTTTCTTTAAGCGACAAAAACAACAGCAGCAATTTTTTTAAGCCCCCTAATGTGCTGAACTAAGATGACTTGGGACCACAGAGCAGTAGTCTCTAGTGTTTGGGCCGTTGGATGTGACTGAGCCACACATACAGATCCAGGTCACATGTGTTTTCTTAGGCCTATCTTTCCAGGCCTCGGTTTTTACAGATGTTAAGGGAGAGGTTTGCACTCCTGAACTCCTCCTCCTCGCTCTCACTGCCTTTAAAGAGGTCTGGGTGGTGCTTTGAGTCCTAGGAATAGTCCTTTCCCAAGCCCCCCAGCAATGCAGGCTGCCCCTACTATTTTCAGCCCACAGGTCAATGAACTTTGGGTAACTGGACACCCCCTCTGCCCCTACTACTCTGGCTACCCAATGCCACTGACCTGGGGCTGCAGCTCTGGGGTGATGAACCACAGTTCTGAGAGGGCGGAAAACCTCAGCAGAGGGATCTCCGTTTCCGGAGAATGGAACAGTTTAAGTTGGAGGAAGGGTCTTTGTTTCTGAGGTTGCATATTGTGGCCAAGTTTTCCAAATATGCTTGATCAAAGGGGAGTAAAGGGCTGCAGTGATCCTAGCACCAATCCCTCAGACTTCCCCCTAGCATAGGGGATAGACAGACTTTTATTCCCTTTACTCTGTCTAAGTGGTTTAGGTGGTAAGACTTAGAAAAGATGCACCAGCTCCCAAGCAGACCAGCTCTAAGGGGGAATCAGAGCAAGGCAGATGGTCCTCTCACATATTCTTCCATTTCATTCCAGGATGATGTCCCTGGCTAAGCCCTATCCTGGCTCTCCTGTTCTGATAATGTCCTGAGCCTCCCATCCTCACCACCACCCAAAACAGGGTGAGCACAGTGAGTTCTCTAGGGAGGCTCTGTCCATGCAGCTGTGCTGGAGCTGGCCTGGGTCATCTGGGGAACAGCTTATAGTGACGTGCCATAAGGGATTCTCTTTAGCCTCAGCCAGCATGGAATCCTGAGTAAAATGACTTTGTCTCAGCCAAAGGAATGTCATCAGCAGGGGATGTTTTTCTCCAGATCTAGCTGTAAGCTTTCCATAAGGTTTCCTCCTTTGTGGTTTTCTCAGCAGGGCCTGGAAGGAGGGAGATCTGAGGCCTGGAAGGGGTAGACATAGGGGTTTACTTGGAGGGACAGGGGTCTTGTGCATAGAGCTGAGCTGTTCCTGAACATTCCCTCACAGCCCCCCAGAGACCATGTGGCTCGATCCCTCATCCTCATACCTGGAGGCCTGCCCACCCTCCCTTCCACCCTCCTCCCGCTGTGTTTCACCTCACACAGGGACTGGAGGAGCAGATCATAAAGAGAACAAGTCTCAGCCAGTAGCTCAGCTCAGGGCAGAGGCTGTCAGCTGAGTCCCCACTGAGCATTCTGGGGTATAGGGTCTGTACACCACCTCCTTCTTGGGACTGATTCCTGAGATGCCAGAACCCAACAGAAGGCGAGGTTCCTGCTATAGGTTCCTCTTTCCTTCTTGATGAGGAGGGTAAGTTCCACAGTAGTGTCTACCTTACTGCTTGGTGGAGGTTATTGTGGGCTTTTATAGGGGAAAGAGCAGGATCCCAGAAGCATTGCTACTTAAATAAATAACATGCAAATTAGCACTTGCTATTTTCAGTCCACAGGTCAAGGCACTTTGGGTAATAGGCAGCAGCACTGAAGAGAAATGCTGTCTGGGAGTTTTTTGTGAAAATATGAAAACACAGCCTCCCCTGTCAATGGGGAGCTCCCGTGCTTGAAGGGGCCCTGACCTTCCTTGCCTGTCATGAGGGTGTGGCAGAGTGGAAGGAATATAGTGGCACAGTTGCCTTGACTACAGTGGGGATGGGGTATGGGGGACGGGCAATGCAGGGGTGACTGTGAGCATGACTGTAGCCTGGGGCGCAGGGAGTTGGGGGCAGCTGAGGGACACATGGTAGAGGGAGATGACACCTGCTGAAAGGGAGCTGGGAGTCAGGCACTTGTCCAGAAAGAAAACCCAGCCAAAGAGGGAGAGAGGAAAAAGGCCTATCTATCTCACATAGGCTTCCTCTGTGCTCCTGTGGGGCTTCTCTTCAAAGAGCCCTTAGGAGCCATGATCTCATTTGTCTCCCATGCCAGCACTCTCACAGCAGCTCTTTACAAGGGGGAAACTGAGGCAAAGAAAGTCCAGGAAATGTCCAAAGCAGAGGGCAGAACGCAGACTAATATGCATGAGGTCCCTCAGCCAGATTCCTGGGAGGGCGTAATTCCCTCTTCCTTCCCACACCTTCCCCACCTAGAAGGATCTCTGGAGTCACCTTGGCTGAGGCCCAAGATTCCTTTGGCTAAAGTTTCATTTCCAACAGAGACATTGAAAGATAGTTTATGGGAGACTCTCCTTGTCTCCTGGACAATAATCTCAGAGGTTGACGTGGTTGGTTAGAATGGGGTAAGAAGAAAAGGGAAAGACTTGAGAGGCAGTTTGGTGTGCTCTGAATTCCAGTGTCACTTGCCTGAGGGTTTCTGGGTTCCAGGGTCACCTGTCTGGAGCCTGATCACATACCTGATTTCCTGGTAAGCCCCAGAAATGAGACCCTTGAGGGGATTAGGGTCCCAAGGTAGGTATCCATAACTCTGTCCACTGACCTGCCCTCATGTCTTCTTGTTCCCATCAATCATGAGGCTATTTCATTCCTTAGATGGAAAAGCCCGTCCTTGCACAAGTTTTGGCCAGTCAGAGAACGTCTCCCTGGGCCTGTGGGTGACAGCTGGGCCTGTGACTCCTCTGCATCCTAGCCAGGCCTGGTTGATAGCATAATAGCAGAGGCAGGACAATGGGCATTTTATAGCAGAGTGATTAAAAAGAGAAAGAATTAAATCAGAGTGGGGGGCAGGGAAAGGAAAGAGAAAGGAATTGGGAGAGGGACTTCAGTGAATTAACCCTTTCCATACTGTGGCAGGATGAATGGGGAATTACCTGGCCACATCCTTAATCCCAGCTTTCAAAAACCTACTCTCAGATGCCCCATTGACCCAACTGAATCCTGAGGGAATCATCTGTCATGACCTTGACAGCTGTCTAGGAAAATAATTTCCAGTCTCTGTGTAGCAGAAGTTTTCAAAGCATATTCACGTCTATGAGTTTATTCTATTCTCAGACAACCTAAGCAGGTATTATTATACTTGCTTTAGAACATTAACAGCAAGAAAGATTAATAATAGAGTGGCCTAGTTTGGCCACAGGTTTAGAAGCCACAATGACTTGGGTCCAGATCCAGGCAATGGATTTCTTTACCATTAGCAATGCCTGTGTCTTCCAGAGTTCCTCATGCATGAGGGTGGGGAGCTTCTCTCCTTTCCTGGACCAGCATGACTGCTGTCTTTCCTCCTCAATCTCCAGGCCCTTCCTACAGGAAATGCCAGGTACCCTGGATCAGACCCAGTTCATGTGGTCAGAAAATCCAGAACGTTCGAGCCAAAAAGGACTTTAGAGAGCATCTAGTTCAAACCCCTCATTTTCACAGAGGAGAAAATTAGGCCCAGACAGGGCAAGTGACTAGCTCAAGACCCCTCCACACAACTCAGGTGTCTTGATTCCTGGGGCAGGCTTCTTTTCACTAGTCAGTGGCACCACTTCTTGCCACTCCCTCCCTGGGGCTAGTGTGGGGCTCAGATGGACAGGTTTGGAAGGTAGATGGGAGAATTTGAACTGGGGTCACTGGGAGTCAACAGATGCACAGTGGAGTGTTCCAAAGCTCAGCCCTAATCCCGGCTGAGATTTCTCTGGGGTAGCAAGTCAGCCAGCCGGAGGAAGGGGTCCTGGTCCCAGCTGTGTTACTGTTCAACAAATATTTATATAAACTTCAAGAAGACCTGCCTTTCTCACCACCCCCACAGTTGGGAGGGGCAGGAGAGAGGGTAGACCCTCCACATGTTGTATAGTGAGCTACCGTCTCAGTAGTCCTAGCTGATTATCCTGCTTCCAGTATCCCAACACATCAGTGGCTTTGTGTGCTTCTGAGAACATGAGACAGAGGACCATAGGAAGGGGTAGGGGAGAGGGGATGCCTCTCCAGTAAGGGCCTGACGGACCCTCACCCAGCATCACTGGGCAGATGCCAGGGTGTGTGTGAGTGTGTGTGTGTATGCATGTATACAAACCCTCCACCTCAAGAGGCCAGGAGCAATCATTTCAGATCAGCTTAAGCACCCATTCCACTGCACTCCATTGCCAAATGGGATCCCATAGCAATGGGATCCATTGCTAATTTGGATCCCATATATCTGTGAAACAGAAATGAAACCTCATACAATGTATCGAGAAAGTACTGTAAATGATCTTCTTCTTCTTCTTCCTCTTCCTCCTCCTCTTCTTCTTCTTCTTCCTCTTCTTCTTCTCCTTCTTCTTCCTCTTCTTCTTCTCCTTCTTCTTCCTCCTCCTCCTCTCTTCTTCTTCCTCTTCTTCTTCTTTTTTTTTTGAGACAGGGTCTTGCTCTGTCACCCAGGCTGGAGTGCAGTGGCATGAACACGGCTCACTCCAGCCTCAATCTCCAATGGCTCAAGCGATCCTCCCACCTCAGCCTCCAGAGTTGCTGGGACCACAGGTGCAAGCCAACACAACCAGCTAGCTTTAAAACTTTTTGCAGAGAAAGGGTCTCACTGTGTTGCCCAGGTTGGTCTCGAACTCCTGGGCTCAAGCAATCCTCCCGCCTAAGCCTCCCAAAGGGCTAGGATGACAGGTGTGAGCCATCACACCTGGCCAATGTTATCTTCTTTAATTCTCAAAACCATCTCGCCACCTCCACTTCTATCCCTGGTGTGAGCCACCATCTGCTCTCACCTAGCTAACTGCAGCAGTCTGCTTTCCACGCTTCCTGGTTCCCCTGGTGTCCCTGTGGTCTGCTCTCCTCAGAGTAGCCAGACAGACCCTTTGCAAAACATGTTGGATCACATTGTCCCTCGCCCTGAAGTCCTCCAGTGGCTTCCTCGCTCTTGGAAGAAAAGCTAAAGTCCTCAGCATGGCACACATGGCCTCTGGCTACCTGGGACCTCATTTCTGGCCACTTGCCCCCTTGCTAACGCTCCTTCAGCCACACTGACCTCCCTGCAGTTCCTTGAACTTATGCTGATTCCTGCCTCTGGGCCTTTGCATATACTCTTCCGTCTGCCTGGACAGCTCTCTCCCCAGTTATCTGCATAGTTTATCAAAGAAGCCTTCCCTGACTACCCACTCTCAAATACCCACTACCCTATCACTCTCTGCCCCTTACCCTGCTTTATTTGTCCTTATGACACACAGCACCACCTAATCTATTGCATGTTTATTTGTTGGCTTGTTTGCCATTTCTTTTTCTCTCTTTCTTTAATTTAATAATTTTTTTTTAAATACAGAAGGTTTCACAAATTTGGGTGTCATCCTTGCACAGGGGACATGCTAATCTTCTCTGCATCATTCCAATTTTAGTATATGTGCTGCCAAAGCGAGCACTGCCATTTCTTTTTTGTTTCGTTTTTTGAGACAGAGTCTCGCTCTGTTGCCCAGGCTGGAGAACAGTGGTGTGATCTCGGCTCACTGCAACCTCTGCCTCCTGGGTTTAAGCGATACTCATGCCTCAGCCTCCTGAGTAGCTGGGATTACAGGCACATGCCACCATGCTCGGCTAATTTTTGTATTTTTAGTAGAGAAAGCGTTTTGCCATGTTGGCCAGGCTGGTTTTGAACTCCTGACCTCAGGTGATCCACCCGCCTCAGCCTCTCAAAGTGCTGGGATTACAGGTGTGACCCACCACACCCGGCCGTTTCTTTTCATACATGAGTTTAAGAGTAATGCCTATTTTTCCTCCTGCCACATCTGCAGTGTCTGGTATATATTATGTGGTCTACAAGTGTTTATCGAATGTATGAGCAAATATCACAAGGTGGGCATTTCTTTCAGATAATAACACCGAAGCACAAAGAGGCTAAGTAATGCACACAGGTAGTGAGTAGCAAACCGAAAATTATATCCAGGCCAGTTGGGCTTGAATGTTCCATCTACTTTGCTACTCTGCCTCCCAAGAGCAGGAAACTAACCACAAGGACCTGTGGAGATAAAAGAGATTGTATAAGCCAGCAGTGGTGGCTCATGCCTGTAATTCGAGCACTTGGGGAGGCCAAAGTGGGTGGATAGCTTGAGCCCAGGAGTTTGAGACCAGCCTGGGCAGTATGGTAAAACCCTGCCTCTACAAAAACAAAACAAAACAAAACAAAAAACAAAAATTAGTGGGTATTTTAAAATTTAAGAATTAGCCTGTACTACATTTTAAACTTAGCACGGATTAAAAGTAGCACAGTGGCACTTGCTTGTAGTCCCAGCTACTTCGGAGGCTGAGGTGGGAGGATTGCTCGGGCCCAAGAAGTCAAGGCTGCAGTGAACCATGATTGTGCCACTGCACTCCAGCCTGGGTGACAGAGTGATGCTTGTCTCAGAAAAAAAAAGAGACAGAGAGAGAGATATTGTATAGCTGTTTCCTTCCAAACTTCAGGAGTATCTGATCAGAGCTGGCGAAGGGTGGTATCTTTTAGTTGGAACCTCACACAGGGAGCTCCTTTTCCTGGCTAAATCCAGAAAACAGGGAACATCAGAGGAAAGTTCACTCCAGCATGGGCACAGGGCAGCTGGCTATCCCCCAGGGCCCCTCTGTGGAGGCTCATTGTGGCTTGGAAAGGGGCAGTGACAGCCAGATGATAAGCTCTGTCCCTGATCTTCTAATAACACTCAGCAGAATGTCAGCAGTCCTGGGAACCCCAACTGCTGGAAGTCCCACCACCTGAAATTGTCCATATGGCCATGTATGTGTAGATAGTGTCATTCCTGAACTGCCCTTTGTCATCAAACCCACAGGGGCCAAGACAGAAGCCAGACATCAAAGTAGAGGAAGAATGAGAGATTGAGGCTGAGGAGAGGGGCTGGAAGAGGGTGAGCAGTCAAAGAGGGCAGGATCTAGGTCAGAGATTTATTCCTGTCTCCCAAGCTGGAGAAGTCCCAACAAGAAAGAGAAAAGGCATGACACAGACCCCTTTAAGTAGGAGCTGGCCAAAGGAGAAGGGGTATAGGCTGGTGAGAATACACTCGCCCTGCTCTGGGTCACACCCCACCCCTGCCAGGCTGAGCACAAGGTCACTCATCTTGCTCTGGATGGGCCCCTCCACTTCTCAGACACTCTCTGTACCTGTCTGGTTGCCACACACCCCCTGCACATCGGCGGGCCTGTGTCCTCAAACGGTTGATCTTGTGCACACACAGCCTCTTTGTATCCAGCCACCTCTCACACACATGTTCGGATGGGTCTCACACAGTATCTGTCTGTCTCTCATTTCCACCGCTTGGCGTGCACATCACGAACCCGCTGACTCTGTTTTTCTACCGCACATGCCCCCGTGTCAGCCTCTCCTACCTTGTCTCTCCGTGATCCTGCCCTGCATATTCAGTGAGTGTTGATCTGCCTCCAGTGTAGCTATGTGCTTTCGGTCTCTATAGGTCTGACTCTTTCCTCTGGCCTGCTTTGCAAATCTATACTTTTATGCCTCTTCCTGTGCTTGTTCCATTGTCACACCGATATATAGATAACAACCATTCAGTCCTTCAGCATCTTGGGACCCCTAAACCTTTATACTTCAGTAGGTAGTTCCCTCTGCCTGGCCTGCTGGCTTTTCTTCAGCTGCAGTGAATGGCCTTTTACTGCCTGGCCAGAGACATCTGATAGCCCAGAGGCCAGAGCTGGCCCCTCGTGAACATCCTGGGACAGCTCAGCCTTTGAGCTAGAGGCAAACAAGGACTTGTATTCACAGAGGCTTGGGTTGCTCCTTCTGCCCTTGGACCAGAGTTCCTGACTGTGGGTACTTTGTGGCTCCCCAAAGCAAGACTCTATCCTGGAAGATGGAGAGGTCATGTAAGGGCATTCCAGGAGGGGGTCTCTAACAGTGATTCATTGGTCAGTCGACAGCATGGCCTGAGAACCTACACTGCTAGGTGTTGAGGGGACAGAGAGAGAGAGAAGACAGTCTCTGTCCTTGGGAAGCTCCTACTCCAGTGGAAGGCCTGTGATCCCTGCCCCTGACATGCTCACAGGCTTCAGGGACACAAGGGCTGCACACAGAGGGAAAGGCTTCAAGGAGCACATGGTGAGGCAGCAGGTGTACTGGAACATGCGCAGAATGTCGGGGGAAGAGGCCTGGGTTCTGTTCTGGTGGGGCCAGTCTGAGTTATATGATCCTCCCAAGCCAGTTAATCCAAGTTCCAACTTCTTCACTTGTAAATTGGGTGGGGGATGGGGGGAGAATATCTAATTCACATTAAATAAAATAATGCCATATTAGTGTGTGCAAACCACGCATGCTAGACTCATAAAAGTGCAAATTACTGCAGTACGCATTATGCACACAAGTGCCAGGACAACCCAGAGTCCAGTGGGATGAATCAGGAAAGGCTCCCTGGAAGGAGGGGATTTGGCAAAGATGGGTGGGCAACTGGACATCACCACCCAGGTGGAATAGCTGGCCATAGATGATGGCCTTTGTAGCTTTGGTTTTCTAGGAGCAACCAAGGGAAGGGATGGATGTAACATTTACTGACACCTGCTGCATGCCAAGTGTTATTTTTTCAGATGGAGCCTGATCTCAGCTCACTGCAACATCCACCTCCCAGGTTCAAGCAATTCTCGTGCCTCAGCCTCCCGAGTAGCTGGGACTACAGGAGCCCACCACCATGCCCAGCTAATTTTTGTGTTTTTAGTAGAGACGGGGTTTCACCATGTTGGCCAGGCTGGTCTCGAACTCCTGACCTCAAGTGATTTGCCTTGGCCTCCCAAAGTGTTGGGATTACAGGCGTGAGCCACTGTGCCCGGCCACCAAGTGTATTACATACATTATATTTCACTACATGCTAAAAACAATCCTATTGCCATATTCATATTCTCGCTTAAAATAGATAAACAGCTTTCCCAGAGACTCAGAGCTGGGATCTGAACACCAGGCCTGTCATACTTCCAAACTTGTGTTCTTTCTGTAATATCAGACTACATGGAATTTTCAGGTACCACACAAGCTCAGCTGGCTTACCACAGAACATAAGGAGAAGGTTGACAATTAAAGAGGGGAGACAGTGGACAGGTAGACAGGTGGGCAGAGCTGGTGGGGGAAAAGCCAAGATCATCTCAACAGCTTCTTTGACCCTTACACATCCTGACTGTCAACCAAATTGCATGTCATCACACTAGGTGAAAACTCCAGCAACTCAATTGTAGGTTACTAGGACACACTAGAGGGAGGACCACTCCTGAGCTAGCATTAGTTGCCATGGCAACCAGAATATATCCAGCAGCCCCTCTGGAGTACCTGGCTTACTCCAACTTTTCACTAACCCTGTTGGGT